CCGCCCTCTTAAACTTCCCACTGGTTTTTCCATGAACGACGCCCCAATACACTGGACAATTCTCTCGCCTTGGAGTCCCCTCGAGATCGCTGTACTATGGCGCACTCCATTCCTCCAGTGCGCCACTTTAAAGGAGTCAGAGGGATGTTCGGGTTCGGCGAGCCCGCTGTGCCAAGAAAACACCAAACTGGCACCTTTGGTCCTGTGTGCTCTGGAAAATGGGTCGGTGACCTCGCGACGACGATATACTTCGAGAGAGACAGATATGTCAATTATCGTATGACGAATCGACATAGCATTTATTGTATAGCAATTTACAGATTTAATAAACGTGCACGTGTCGCAATAGCGCGTCGAGATAACAGCCAATTATATCGTATCTCCTTGTTACATAATTTGAACAATATTATAGAGAGCCTTATTAGCTTAGAAGCTTGACCGTTAATAGAAAGAGTCTGGACCTGTGAGAAATCTGTGATAAGATCGTTTCGAGAGTTATCGCTCAAAACAGTTACGAGAGAAATAAGGCGAGGACTCGGCCAGTTCGTAGAAAGTTCTAGAAGCTTCTCGAGCAACTCAACGTACTTGCGACACGTGGACGGAGATCCCGTTAATCCGAAGGTCCCAGATATGACGCCCGTAGATGCCGAAATAATGAATAGATTTCCAATACCTGATCGCTGCGAGTTCTCGCTAAAGAAAGAGACATTTTTAACAAAGCCAAGTTACATAAGCTTCTTCACCCGGCAGAGAATTATCCCAAGTGTTCTGTCACTTCCGATACCGGACACTACCGTTTCCAATTTCGTTTTATTAAATCCAGTCCTTATGAATACAAGCGAAAACAGCAGGATCCGAAGGACCTTTAAAATTCCCATCTTATCCCGGCAAGCAAACCCAAACGAGAAACTATTTTACCCAAGATGGCGTCTGCGTGAAAAAAACAAAGTCCATTCAACGTTTCACGTCAAAACCATAAGGAAGGGATTTTTCCCACAAGCGAGATGCATCTCCCGCTGGACGAGGTCTATATCTTTCGGGAAAGGTGGGTTAGAGTAGAGCTGAACGTAGACGTCGTTAACCGCAAGAACGTTAAATTAACCAAGAGACTTAGTCCAGGAGTCATATAATCAACCGATAGGGCGTCACATTCACAATTTACGAAACAAACGAATCGACCCTCGGGTTCTAATTCATTCCCTAAGTCAGTCGCGACATGACGCACGTTGCGCATACTAACCGCAATAAACGTTGAGGCATGTGATATCTATTAATCGTCGTTGCCATTATTATTATTGTTATCGTATTTCACCAAGATTACTACCAGGGAAACGTTACGCGCTTATTGCTCAATATTGTTTGTCCCGTTCTACACCGGCAGCATCGTGCAATTAGCAGAGACGTACATGCGATAAGGAAGGACTGCGTTAACCGAGATAACTTATATCACTAGACTCCACAAGAAACTCCGTGCTTGATACGTACGTTAAGTGCCATACGTAATTTTCCAAAGGATTATCGCACTTAACGATCCTACTGCGCTAACGGTGGATACTTTATATATATATATATTGGGTGCAATCTTCACGAGCCCGAAGCTAACCCAGTATATATGTGTATATACGTATATACAGGAGTCCCAGCATCCACCATGACTTCCGGCAAAGTAATACGCTTTGAACAATTGCACAAAGTTTCGAGAGGGTGATACGATGAAATGGCTGTCACTGCCGGTACATCGGTTCTTGCTTCGTGCAAGAAGTTCAACGAGTCTTCTTCGATTAAAACAGTACACATGCTGGTAAAGAAAAGGACCCGGAGGGAAACGCTCGGGGAATCTTCGCGCAGCCGCCATTGTTTTCCCGAACAATGGATAGATTTGTTTTACGGTTTTGCGGCTTTAAATGGAGACCGGGATCGCGTGCGGTTAGAAATCGAGATGGGTCGTCGCGGAGATACCGCCGGAAGAGGGGCAACGAGTTTCCTCATTCAGCGCTGGGAAAATTTGTTTCCCGGCGCCGTTTTCATTGTGGCGAGAGACGCATACGTGCACGTACGTCGTTATATTTAGATACGGAATCCGCGATACGACGCTTTATCGAGAACGACGCGAACCGACTGTGATTTCGTTTGTAAAGTGGGTTTAGAAAAAAAGAAAAAAAAAAAGTACAGAGAGATATGAATTTGTGATACGAATCGAGGGATGACTGATAAATAGAAAAAAAAAATTCATCCCATACGTTTTTCGTATTGGCCATACGAAAACATAATAAAACCTTCACCAACCTGTGCATTCTATCATCCCATTCTTTTACGTCTTTTATCTTACGACTAATTCTTTTTTTCTTTTTTTTTCTCCATTTTTTCCTCATTCTTCGCGTATCTGCTGTTTGAAAGTACAAGCAGAGGTAAACAACACAGTTACGACTAGTGGATTATACACATGTATCCTTTTTTCCATTCCCTGTCCGTCGTTTCCCGATACATGCAGTACACGTATAATCTTCATACACGTATACGTCATATGTACCATATATTCCTGCGCAACAAAAATTTGTCAGGGTGCTTTTAGCGGTAAAAGCGCTTTTAAAATTTCCAAATACTCGCATCGCGAGCTTTGCCGTACGTCGCAATGATATAAAAAATATATAGACATATATATACACACGTCAAAAGGTCTATGACATAGGAACAATACGATTCGTGAAAATCGTATATGCTGAGTCGATCAAAAGTTTTCTCGTACGTCGATTCGTAATCGAACTCGAAAAGCTAGGTTCTCCCTGTAATACCCTAAGACAAATAAGCATGCGAAGCTCAACAACTTTCCGCGAAGACACGAGATTCGATTCACGTGTGGAAGCATAAACGTAATACACGTAACGCGTAATATGCTATACAACGTACATTGAGCCATAAGTGTCGTAGGGAAGCCTAAAAAAGTGTCTACTACTCTGGCTACGTACCTCTGACGCCGCAAGCCGCAGCATCCGGCAAATGTAGAACCGCGCCTATACGAAATACCCTGGAGCAGAGGCCTCTACGCGCCGAGAGCTTCTTTGAAGCTCGAATTACCAGTATTCCAGCAGGTCGACCAGTCAGCCTGTACCGTCGGGTTTTATCACCGTGGCGAGGTGTGAATTTGCGCGCATAACATTTCGCACGCGAATCCTCTTACCCACGTAAGAGCGTGGAAGCGTGTGTAGGAATGGCTGGAATTTAGTGCTCCCTTCGTTTACGACAGTGGGCCGAGGCCCTTCTCTTCAAAAAGTTTTCCGCGTGTTCCAAGCGCCCCGCCCTTTAATGCCTTTAAAGGGTCCCTGGATTTAGAATGAATGACGTCACTCGCGCGCCGCCCGTTTTCCGTATACATTATACATATCCATATACACATATACGTGTAAGCGTTCTGCTATGCCCACGAAACGAATTCTCTACCGGGAAAATCCAATTTGGCGGTGCAAGCTTGCGTCATCGTTTATTCGTGAAAATGCCAACAGCAAAAAATAAATGAACGTTATAGCAAATGCATCGTAGAAATGAATCAAGAGGAAGTGATGGATTGCTTAGCTGCGCATTGCTTCGTTTCACGGTGTAGCTGCACTGATGGGAAATATTGTCAATTGTATATATGTATATACATGCATGGGAATAGTTATACAATTGGATATTACTACATGTGTATATGCAAAACGAAAACAATGGCACGACCAGCTTGTATCGATCATCCAAAGTGGAATGAGTTTACGACACCGTCGTACAGAAAGAACCAGGAGACGAACGGCCGTTTTATTGGATTCGTGGGACACTTTTCAAACTCCCAAACCCGCGAAGGATCATTTAATTCACGAGTAGCACAAATTCAAAGGAGATTGATGGGCAGCGGCTAGTCGGACATTTTTAGCCATTTATATGTCCCGTTGAGGAATTCGCTCGTTACATACTTGTCAGTGCGATCAATCATAATTACCAGATGAAATATTTGGATCAGATATTTATGCCGTATTTAAATCAGAACTTCCGGCATTCACAGATTTCACCCGACGACACTCTCACAACCTGACAACTTCCTAATCGATCCTTGAATTCGAATTCGAGCCCTCGCTGTGTATATAATTAATCGAAATATATATTTTCTGTGTTGCAGTTAATTTCGTCAACGGCGAGGTCCTCCACATTGTCAAGATCAGTCGACTTCACATGGGTGCTTATTTGTGCATAGCGTCGAACGAAGTGCCGCCGTCGGTCAGCTCGCGCGTGGAGATTCGCGTCCAGTGTAAGAATCCATTTATAACGATGCGTATTTACGTTTGACAGTGACTCCGTCTGGTGCTTCGGAGACAAGTTAGATCGAGTAGCGCGCATGCGCAATAGAGAATTCTCCCGCGTTACAACCGTTGCGAGTTGAAGATACCCATGTGCAGAAGTACAGTACGTTACGATAATATTATACCACTGGAGAGTGAAAGCTTCTGGAAGGATCGTAGAGGGGAGAATAACCAGTCGTATTTCAATATACGGCGAAACAAAACTGCTTTATTTCGTGGTTAAGTGAAAAGCGTCCCGTTCGCCCGAACGGAACGACGGAACATAATACCGTCTTATTATGCGTCGTGGAAAACCCCCGAGGTACCGTGAATATTCATACGTACCTTAAGTTACTGCCCACGCCCATAAAGCTCGGTAATCCAATACCCAGAAGGTTATGGATTTACAATTTTGCATAACGTTCAACGTAGGACGTTGGAGGCACTTAAGCCGCGTATTGGAAAAAAATTATATCATTTTACAAAAATTCATTTCACCCCGGCCCTTCGACCGGACCAGTGCCTACAAAAGCGCCGTATACGGATTTACAATTGATCTTCCAGCACTCCTTCTCGAAAGTCTCGAAAATCCGTCTCGCAGGGTTAACCAGGATCCCTACCAACGCCGATACGTTTTCAGACAGCTGCCCTAGCGGATTGCACTGGCGCAACTGCACAGCCTACTGCCGGGCACTGCCTATGTATCTAGTACCTATATAAGCCGTGGCGCTAGTAATGCAAGGATTACGCGTAACGTTTCTCCACACAGTGTGCGCGTCGCGCACCTGTAAATCCTTTGTGATGGCAGCCGCGATGTAACGGGTGTTCCTATTGTCTGAATAATGAGCGCAATGAAATTACCAAAACAACGGGTACTTACGTGCCGACCGCATTCCGCAAAGTGCAATAAAATCCAGCGGACTCATGACGAGATGGGATGCATCGAGCTAACGTTCAGCCTCCCGTTAAAGTCTTGATTTACGTGCAACAAATTGATCCGCCCGTAAATCTTTATTGTTAACCGTTACAGAGCTATCGCTCGTCCGCATGCGAGAACGCAAAATAGAATCGTATCATCGAATGGTCGTTGAAATGAATTTTAATCTCGTTCCCCCGGCGCTTTTGACTCCGCCGCAGCTGCACTGCCCCGTAGTCCCATATCGAGCGGACGTTCCGCTTGCGAAATTTCTGACAATCCTATCTCCGTCCTCGTCCCACCTGCTGCGAAGTATGTCTCGTGCCGTGCCGTAATGCTTTGCTCGAATAATTTTTCAATGATTCCCTTTACCAACTAAAATCTGAATAGCAAGCCGTAAAGGCGATGTTTCTGCATAATGTGACGCGCATGCGCACTCGACAGGTTTGTCTGCAGGGAGGCGCAAACCGTTCATTCGAAATATTACGTGGTTCATTGTCAATCCGGGCGATACGAGATTCGATTATAACCTCAATTTCCAAAATTTCTCATATACAACATACGCGCGTTGACCGTGATAAATGCTTTTTAAGGCGAATCCACAGCTTGGCAGCAAGTGATGCTCATTTTCGAGAATTGCATATAGACTGTCAAGCGGAAGCTCGAGCTTCTCGGAGAACAGGTGAAATTCGACACATCGATAACAGCCTCGAGCAACCTCATATAACTCGCATCGGTGAATACGTCAGTGATGTTTTCTCTCTATTGAGACATATCGATCCCCATACTATTAATTTAATCCGCTCGCAAATTCCTCCACAGTGCATCCACCATATATATATATATATATCGACCTGTTTGTTTAACACAGTCCCACCGATGCTGTCGATACCTAACCAATTGGAAGCAGCTTACATCGGACAAGATGTCAATCTAGAATGTCACACAGAGGCATATCCGTACTCGATCAACTACTGGACAACGGAACACGGCGACATGATCGTCTCAGGTAATTCCAGATCCCATCGTGCCCTGGGTTCTTTTCCTCACGCACCGTTAACACTTTTGCTCCGGGTTGATCCACCTTCTACCCGGTACCTTATACTGCGTCCACGTACGGTTAGATTTCCAAGCAGCCAACCTTAGACAGACGCCCGAGGCTCGTACGTGAAAAAGGGACCTGACCGCGATCAGGATGACACTCGAGCGAAATCGTAATTAACAGGGCGCGCTCTAATAGGATTATGGTGCGCGCGTCATGACGCTCCAGCATTACCAACACGATTCTACATAGTCCCGCGACCAGTCGCGCACTTTGTAAGCTCGATTAAGCTCTTGGTTATTCACGAGATGAGCCGACGCGCCCGCGCGGCACCCACAGTCCCTCCCTACGTACTGATGAGAATTGCGGTCTTACTGGCCCAGGCAATTACAATTCCATTTCAGGTGACAAGTACGAAACGATCTCCGTCGATAACGACTACAACAAGTACATGACGCTGAAGATCAGGAACGTCGGACCGCAGGACTTTGGATCTTACAAATGCGTCGCCCAGAATTCCCTCGGCGAGACGGACGGAGTCATCAAACTGGACGGTGAGTCGAACCTATGGAACTTAACGCTGAGTCGCCCAACGCGTTAGTTACGGCTCGGGCGAGGCCCATAGAGACCGAGTGACGCGAAGACGCGGCGCGGTGATATTGGTTCAACCGGAAACGATCTTCCGGCGGAAGTTCAATAGAGTTAACCGATCGTCGATTGATGCTTTTCATTCGATTCAAATTATTCGACGTCGTTAGGTCGGTTACCTGCCCGATCATCGAATTCCTGCGGAATAAAGCCTTGTTTCTAATGGATAATACAGGAAGACCCACGTGGATGGCGGGTGAGTCTACCTTTTACTTATAAGATCGATCGACGAGCGAGATCGGGATTTCGTTTCGTCTCAATGAGCCTCGTAATTGGCGATTAAATTTTTCAGATATATACTCACCGTACCCAAGATAACTTTTAACTCGTGGAAATAGACATTCGAATTCCTCGGGTCTGCAGTCTGCGGTAAACGCGGCTAAGACTCGACTGTTCAATAAATAAGAGCGAGCTAGAGTGAAATACACGCGTCAGTACATACAACGACGTTCTGCGGCATCCGACGTCGAGTCGTGTACCGATCCCGCGAAGGACGTTAATGTAAATTCAGGACCGACCAAGGAACGCAAGTCGCCTTTCATTCCCAGTGGAGTCCTTAGGCAAACTCCTACCCAGGGTATTACGTATATATATATATATATACTTACGGTAAAACGTTCTCCCACCGGTTTCCACGACCCCGTAACTCTTTCGGAATGGGGCACCGGCGGGGGGCGGGAGGGACGGTTAAAAATAGCAACCGGATAAGGCTCCTTTCGGAAAGTGATTTTGCGCTGGTCAATTAGCCCTACTGCTCGGTTAGAGCTTGCGCGTATAACAATTGGAGTCGTAGCCAAATAACAGGCATGCTTGGTCACCGCCTAAATTGCACGTGTGTGCATACGGTAGTTAGGGGGATGCGTCGTAGTCGGTCGAGCCGGAATATACGGAACGAGCGAGAGGCGTCGAGAACAATAGAAAGGTCAATAAGTTTTGTCGTGGGGAAATTTGCGGGCTCGAATTCGCACGGGAACTAACTTGAATGCGAAACTTGCGCATTAGAGAGTGCGCTCGGCTCCTTTCCAGTGAATTGACAAGGCGTAACGCCTGAACTCTAACGGTGTATTGTATTAAGGCATTGTTTGCCCTGGTGGTTCTCGAGTAACGATAAACAATCGTAAAGGCTATATCATGCTCGGTGACGCGAGCATCCATTGACCGGCTGGATCCGATACGCAATGGTTCGCCTAGCGCCCCATACAAGCCATTAGACGGTACCGGCCGATAAGGCACTTTGTTGCAATTAGTACAGATTGGTACTAAATATGGCTTGAAATATGGCTCTATCTTGTGTTACAGAAATTCCAGCTCCTACGACGACGACGACTCAAGCCTCGTTCCACATGACATCGTCGAACAAGAAAAGCGGTAAGTTCGCGATTCGCGATCCCCTTGAGACGATTGAAGAATACGAATTAAGTAACCGAACTTCTTCGTCGGATACAAATAGCATTGATGTCGAGGCTGGCGACGAGGATCTTTGAGGTCGTCCGGGTTCGATAATGACTATGGAAACTGTGACTGTTTTAGGGAGAAACGGTAACAAGAAATTGGGCCAACGACCGATCGACTACGAGATCGAGGAATGGCGAGATCCAAGTTAGTCGATTCATCATTATTCCATTAAATTATTCGACTCTCGCGCGAGGCCTTGGCGGTGCCTTTGAAAATTCCCAATTAGCACGCTAATACCCCCGGGTACTTGACAATTGCCCCCGTGACAATTCAAAAAGGACTGCCTGTCAACTACACTCGGATTAATTATTCGTAATTAATATTAATCGTCGAAATCTTGGAGGATTAGCTGTTTAGGGTGACGCCAATTTTCCTACAATCGGCCGACCAATATTGCTGCGGGTTTGCGAATGGAGAAATTCCCTGTGTATTCTGGGCATCTATTATTCACTTGCAAGGGAAGTAGGTACTATCGATTCGCTCCCGAAGCGCCAGGACATTCGAGCTTGCAATTAAATCGCGCCGCGCTCCCACTCAGCCTGAAACAGAGCGCAAACCAGAAAAGAGTAACGAAGCAAAACAAAGTCCCAGAGAGCCACTAGAAAACTTGGCAGGAAACGTACCGTTGCAGCAAATCAATCAGAATCGCGATGACGCGCCTAGAGGATATTTGCGCAAGAAGGAATACAGAGTGTGTGTGTTTGTGTGTGTGAGAGAGAGACGAGGAGAGTAAGAAACCGAAGAAAAAGAAAACTTATAGAGAGAAGGAGAGAGAGAGAGAGAGAGAGAGAGAGTCTGAAAAAACAAAAGAGACAAGGGAAAAATTCGTAGCTCCTACTAATCAATATGCGCAGGAGCAGTTGATTGCGTCGCTATCAATAGCCCCGTGGAAATTGCCATCGACTTTCGAAATCTCGAGAAAGCGTGGAACGAGAATTGAGACAAATTGCCCGGCCGAAGACAGAAGGAGAGCCACCCCGGGACAGGAAAGTGTGCAAGGGTTCCCCTTCATGGAAATCCATATTTCGCTCGGCAAATCCACCCACCGCGACTCGCTGGCATCGTCAGTGCCGCCAACCTGCCAAGCAACCCCTTGCGAACCGACCTATCCGCCTATACCGCCGACGATCCCCCGACAAGACGGTGACTTCTGCATATTGACGCCTCGCTCGGCAAATTTTCATTCCAAACAAGACGACGACAATTTGAAAATGATTTAAACCTGACGTCTGATTGCGCAAGCGTTGCCCGGTGTACACACGTATACGCGTCGGTCGTCAGGACTCTGGACTCTCGAAATAACTTCCCTTCCTCCAAGACTTTCCCCAGAGTTCTCGTGACGTTTACTTTCAATTAATGAAAAACGAACCCTTGCGCCGTGTCCCTCGTCGACCCCCACCCACCTCCTGACGACCTACCACTTCTCCG